GTGCCTGTCTGCAGACACTATCTTGTTAGATTACACTAAAAGCAAAAGTGACACAAAATAGCGAAAATCATATTTAAAGTTAGCTGTGTTTTAATGTGGCATTTTGCCAGCTAAATATTTTTTGGAAAACATTGCTATAGCTGCTGATTTTGAAGCTGCTTTTTCAGTACTTCTACACGGATGGCATTTATGATAATACTGCTGTATCAGCAAAGCTACCAATACAGGTATTTTACTTTTTATCTTGCTTTATAGCCCTTTATACAAGGCCTTCCTATTACAGTTCTGCTGTAGCATTAATTTTATAAAGGTCCTGAAGGTCATTCTTATTTTCAGTCAAATAACAGTATCCAAGAATTTTAATGATGCCCTTGCATTAGGGTTATAATGTTCAGAATTGTTATAAAATTCAACAATGTATGAAAATGTCATCACGAGGGATGAATGAAGCAGCTCAGCTGAAAATGAAAATCAGCCCAAATCTTTGCAGGTGTTCAAAAAACTTAAGGTAATTTCATTTTGTCTCCCCTACCTCCACTTCTCAGGTGCTTCTACAAGTTCCGGTGCCTGAAATATCATCATAATTGATTTTTTTAGACAAAGGAAGTGCTCAGAGCTAATTATCTAAACTTAAGTACAGCATTTGGTACAGTGCCATGTGGGAAATTGTTAGCTAAAATGGGAGATTAGTACAGAAATTGAAGATTGAATAAGAAAGTAGTAGTAGGAGATGATCAGTACTGAGGGAAGGTACTAGAGCTTCCCAAGCATCAGTCTGGGGCCTGATATTGTTTAACATTTCTTATTAATGACGATCCCATAAAAAATAAGCATGTGCTAATGGAATTTACTAGTGGCATAAGGGAGGGAGGCACTGTCACTGCGGAGATGAATAAAACTCATTTAGGAAGAACTGAGTGACCTTGAGGACCAAGATAGGATAAACTGGATGAAATCAGAAGGATTGGAGTGCGAGTTCATGCATCTAGGTCTTGTTAACAAGGTTTCTGTTACACCTGTGTGCTCACAGGTAAGAAAAGAATAAGGAAGTGAAAGACACTGAACATATAACGCAAAGCATTTTCACCAGACTACTGAAACACCGGTAATGGTGTATGAGGCACATGTTAGAAATCAGCCAGGATAGCGCATGCTGCTCACAAATGATTCAGTTCATTTTTGGTAAGCTACCAAAAAAAGACGATTAAAGTGACCATGGGAAGGGAGAGCTTTATGTGTGAAAGGGGTTTGGCAAAATGAAGGTTGAGGGAGGCCACATGGGCGTAAGCTCCAGGAAGAGAAAACATCTATTTAAACTGAAGGACAACATTGGCACAAGAACAAATGAGTATAAATTGGTCATGAATAAATTTAGGATGGGAATTGGAAGCTGCTTTTCAAACAACAGAATAGTGACGTTCTGCGTTTCCTTTCCAGTGTGAACAGTGGAAACAACAACAACAACAACAGAAAACGCAAGCTACTTTTAGGATGGAATATAAAGAGTTTCTGAAAGGGATGTGTTTGGCTAAGATCGCAAGGAAGTAAACTTCATGACAATAGAGGTCCATGCCGGCTGGTCTTTTTAAGCCTGTTTTTCATGACCATATATTTCAGAGCACTTTTAAGTGCTTCCTTTCCTTCATGTATTTTTTAGATAAACTTTGTATTGTATACTGCAGGGACTGCTACCTGGACTGATTTAGGGAAGGCAGGAAACTGTGATGTCCAGAATATGCTGAATACTCTCCAAACAAAACAAGAGAAGTGTCCAGCATCCTACAGGGCAAGGTTTAGGATGCTTAAAGAAATCACCATTTTCAGTGGAAGACAATGGGAACTAAGCCCAAATGGGAGCAGCACCCCTTTGGTGCTTGGTTTTCTGTTGTTTCTCATACTTCCCTGAGCCTGCTGCTCTATTTTGTAGTTTGCTTTCTCAGCCCCACTGCGTGTAAGAAGCAGTAAGAAATAGGATGTCACACAACACTTCAGATGCATAAGATTAAACAGATAAAAACCGGAGCAGTTGGTTGAGTGTGACTGGGTGCCAGCACTGCAAAGGTGCAGTGAAGATGGCTTGGAGGAGAAGGGAGAAGGGAGGATTTCTCCAGCCTTGGTGGTGTGGTGCAGAGCTGTGCTGGCAGTGCCATGGTTTCTCTCTTCTCAGCCCAGGAAGCACCTCTGTCCTTTGGTTTGGTTTATCCCACTAGATGCCTCAATACTTGCTTTGTGTCCCTTGTTCCAAAATGCAGTAGTGCATACTCAGTGCCTGGTCAATGTGGTCATAAAGGGATTTGTATGGAAGACTGAGCTTCAGGGTTCAGTAGCTGGAGTTTTATGGGTTCCTTACCCACAAAAGCAAAATTAGGTGTTTACAGCTCTTTTATAGTAACAGCTTCATCAAAGTGCTGGGCTGGACTGGTAATGTGGTGACTCCCTTATTAAGAGAGCATCTCATAGTTAAAAGTTTTATGGTTTTCTACCTATGCTTTAGTTGAAATCTGGTGAGTGGGGCAATGAGATCTGCAGAATTGGATGATTCTGGTTGTTTTTCCTTTCCAGCTAACTGCACACATACTTCTTCTGAAATCAGCTGTTAATATTGAGAATAGGTTAAGAAATGGGAAAGTTAGATGAAATCCCCAAAGAGTACAGGCAGTTTGGAAAAGGAGAAGAAATAGGCTGCAGCTTTATGAGGGAACAGTGCTTTGCTTACACCTTGTCACCATGCACATTAATCACATTTGCAGTAGGCAGCAGCTCTACTTTTTCGTGCAAACACTTTAAAAACAGGTTTAAAAACCCGAGCAGGATAGCTGAGTCCCCAGGTTCACATAAATGGGGTAATGAACACCTGCATAACAAGAGAGAAAAGCCATAAACACGGTGATGGAAGTTTTCAGTCCCCCTTCAGCTGAGGTTTTCTGCTGCCTTCTCAGGTGCCAGGCAGGGAGGCAGCTGCTTGCTGGGTTCTCCCTGCAGGGCGAAAGGTTCACAGAACCTCCAAAAGCTGCAACTTTGCCCTCAGTGACTTCGGTGCAGCGCCCCGTGTCTGAGCTCCTCTGTGGCTCACTGGTCAGAAATGCCCATCTTTCAAAAGGAAAAGGTAAAGCTAGCTGGAAAAAAAAGATTTTCAGGGAAAAACTATATCAAAGGTCAGAATTGAGAGACATGCACTGTGAAATGATCAAGAGAAAACATTTTGATTGATTGAAACTCAGACAGAGGAGCCCTTATTTTTGGTTGTTTTTAATTGAATTTTTGTTCTTGAAACTGAAGCAGGCAAAGTTCAGGTTAGATAAAAGGCAGTTCTTTACTGTGAGGGTGGTGAGGCACTGGAACAGGTTGCCCAGAGAAGTGGTAAATGCTTCATCCCTGGCAGCGTTCAAGGCCAGGTTGGACAAAGCCTTGGGCGACATGGTCTAGGGTGAGATGTCCCTGCTCATGGCAGGGGGGTCGAACTAGATGATCTTAAGGTCCTTTCCAGCCCTTTTCTGTGATTCTATGAAATGTGTGTATCTACAGAGCTATTTTGTCACCCATCCTTAACTTCGACCAGGACACAGTATTCTGTGAACACCTGGGTGAGACAATTTCATTCTGCTCTGTCCTGCTGGCAAACTCATTTAAAATGAATCAATCATAAGCATGGCCCGTACTTATCACCGTATTTTAGTGAGTTATTACTCATACACCCAGGTGTGAGAACGTGGCTCATTAGGGAGTGCAGTGGCCTTGAGCCAGGGGTGAACTGCTCCCTGAGCTCCCTGCAGCCCATGGGGGCTGGCCCTCAGAGCCGTGGTTGCGAGGGCAGCACCGCCAGGAAACATGCTTGTTTTTCCCATGGGTGGAAGTATCTATGGGGGTATAACAGCACGTTCCCACCTTGTCTGCAAACAGACCCATGTGCAAGCACGTGTGTATGGGAGCTTTCAGGTGACAAGCGTACTGAGGAAATGCCGGTGGCCACAGCAGGTGAGAGACATGGCTCTGTCAGGCATGGCTCTGGATTTGGGCTGCCCGCTCACGCACCACACGAGGGTGGCAGCAACACTGATGCTGTCAGGAAGGATGTGCCTGCCTCCAAGCAGAACTAATGAGCACCTCCAACATTAACAGTGATTAAACACCACCAAAGCCTATGAAAACAACCGCTCATGAGGTAGATCCAGCAGGTGAGAGACATGGCTCTGTCAGGCATGGCTCTGGATTTGGGCTGCCCGCTCACGCACCACACGAGGGTGGCAGCAACACTGATGCTGTCAGGAAGGATGTGCCTGCCTCCAAGCAGAACTAATGAGCACCTCCAACATTAACAGTGATTAAACACCACCAAAGCCTATGAAAACAACCGCTCATGAGGTAGATCAGGGGTGTGTGGGCACTGGAGCAGCCGCCGTGGAGCAGGGCAGGGGCCATGCTCGGCACCTGGTGGGGCAGGTACAGCGAGGCCAGGTTGCTTCCTCTAGTTCCTCACCCCTGGCGATTATAAGAACAAGAGGTTAAATCCCTGCTTTGCAGAGGGCTGTTGGCGTCCTGCTTCGCTGCTCTTTGTCCCGCCTTGAGTTAACACCAGAGGAGACAAGTGCTGGCGACCGCTCCTGATGATGGTGCCATGTTCCTGGCCTCCCTGCCTGACCGTGGGCAGCCATCAGCCCCACAGCAGTTGTGTACCTCATGGTGTCACAGGGAGCCACACTGTGTGGGGTGGGCAGTGAAGTGACGCCCGTGTGTGCGAGCTGTTATGCCGTCAGGACGTTACCGCTTGCAAAAATGGAAAACAAAAAGGGGTAAAGCAAAAAACCCACAAAATAGCTGTGCTCGTTCCTCACTCTTCCCTCAGCGCTGTCTTGCCTTGCGCAAAGGCTTCAGAGGTGTGAACACATCCTGTTTACATCTGCCACTCAGATGGAGATGCTGAGGGGAGCACACGGCTGAGGAGCAGCGAGAGGCAGCGCCGTGCACGGGGAGAGCTGCCCACAGCGGGAGGCAGCCGCGGCATGGATGCACTGCCCATCTACCATGGGGGCATCTCCCGTGAGGCTGGGGAGAAGCTGCTGCTGGCGGCGGGCACTGATGGCAGCTACCTGCTGCGGGACAGCGAGAGCATCCCGGGAGCCTACTGCCTCTGTGTGCTGTGAGTGCCAGGGTGCTGCTCGGGGTGCTGCCCAGGGGAGCGGGGCAGCGAGGACAGTGGAGCTGGGAGCAGGGTGCTGGGATGGGCTGGTCAGGGGATAACTGGTTTCCAACCTTCGTGTCCACACTATGGGGTGTTCCCACATAACGGTGACAAAATATGTTGTAATATCACCATTTACAGACGCGTGAGACTCTTGGGTCCTTCATCTTGACTTAAGGAGGAGGGATGCAGAAGGGGTTGGGAGTCCTTTGCAGAGCAAAGAAGAGCAGATTTTGCCCTGCAGAGCCTATGGTTCCTAGAGACACAGAAGAAAAGGGAAAGCAGGCGTGGAACACATAGGAAAGACAAGCAAGGGGCTATGGAGAAGAGACGGGCAACTGCACTTTGTGCTGGATAATCCTATTGCTTTCTGCTTCTTTAATGTGCTCATGGGTGTGCTTAGCCACATCCCCGGCATCCCTTGTCATTGGGAAGGGTAGTGTGGATTGCTGTCATCCAGCACGTGCCTTTGCTTTGGGATGCTGTCAGTCAGGCTGACAGTAAGCTACTTGTAAAATACGTGAAATACTGATGGGTAACAAACTAAGTGGTAATGTTTCATCAAATAGGGTGAAAGGAGAAAGATCTGATGGGATGGTCTGTCAGAGAGAGGGTAGAGAGGATTCCCTGAGAAAGCTGGGGGACTTTATACTCACAGGACCTCATTTTAATGAGGCACTTTAATTACCCTACTTCTGGCAATAGCAGAAGTCTAGTAAGTCCTGAGAGATAATGCTGTCCAATGAAGTACCATTACCTCAAAAGAACACAGACGTGTCTACCACAGCTAAACAGACACTTGTGCCTTACTTCAGTAGGAGAAGGAATACAAGAGAAAACCATTTTAGAGCCAGCATAAAATTAGCTAACAGAGCACACTTAGGTACCTGGCAAAAAACCAGGAAAGTCCTGAGTCAGGTTTTCCCCAAATATATTGAATATGTTTCCAACAATATGTAATTAAACCCTGGGTGATCATTATTATTCACCTATTACAGACCAGTAAATGGAAGCATGCAAGAAGGTTATAGGCAATCCAGAAATATAAAACCTTCTTTTCAGGGTAGATCTTTGTGGCAGAAGATGTATTTTTTCCTTCATGATAACCAAGGTAGGTGCTACTGCTAACAAATACCTTAACAGCTAGCTGAAAAATGGGAAATAAGAAGCAGATTGAGCATCTTGAAAATGGACTAGACCTAGCAAGAGGTAGGGAGTGCTATGATTCCTGTGATGGGAATAGGCAATAAAAGCAGAATCTCTTTTAAATAACCATCAGAGGAAATGGTGATATATCTCCTTAACACTCAGAAGTCATTCAGTGCAGGTGAAACACTAAGGCATTAGAGAAAGGGTCGGGCAGAATGTTACAGTGTGGAATAAAATAGAGAATCCTAAAATCACTCCATCATTAGCCTAAATCAGGGTGTAGATATGTAACGAGGTCTGTCATCTGCACACAATCAGTTGGGATTTCTTGCTATATTAGTGGTAATTTAGGTCTTTCGGAAGAAATTTTATGAATGAAATAAAATATATTAAAAAAGGAAGAACAGAAAGGGTTGCTAACTGTGAAGCTCTACAGTCTTTGGAAGAAAAGACAAGACACGCCAGTGATAAACGTAACCCTACCTAATTGTTTCTGGAAATTACAGGCCATTCATGTCTTTGAGTTATGCTGTGTTCAAACATATATATCTGACGAGCAAAGGTATAAAAGCAAAAAATCTTACTGGTGAATGTTATGCGGACTTCTTATAGAACATGTATCCTCAATACATTTTTCATAAGGGAAAGTTTCAATGGCATCTTGTGTAAATCCAGACAAAAAACTAAATGAAAAGTGTTATGATGAATATGATGTGATACAGACAGAAAGGTGGCTGAAAAATGCTAGAGCTAACCCTTGGTTCTAATGCTTCTTAATATTTCAATTCAGAGCATTATGTAAGGAATAGGAGGTAGGATAAAAAGCATATAACACAATAACTGTGGAGACAGTTATCATAAAGGTACCAGGAAATCGTCTCACACTGAAGATAGCAATGACAGTTGAAAGAAATGGGGGCCATAAACTAGAGAAATGCTTTGACAGGCAAAGTTTGCCAAAGCAGAGCACTTTAGTGGAGAGATCAGGAGAGCAAGTAGGGAAGGCACAACAGATGTAGATATGTGTTCAGTGGAGGATGCTAAGCCTGGCTTTAGCAAAATAAAGCAGTGGACCCAGCCCTCCAAATTCCATTCTGGACATCATGCATGGACATGAAACAGATGGCAAGCATATATGTGCATGAGAGCTTTGCTAAAAACTGAAAGAAACATGCTGCTGCTGTATTCACTGCTAAAGAAAAAAAAGAAGAAAAGTAAAAGAGAAAGTATTTCTCCACTTTTTTTTAATATTTCCTTCTAAGTAAATAATGGAAGTTATTAGGAATAACAAAGTTATCCAGAAATTTAGATTTTGGTTCAGAATCCATGCTGAAAATCACTCTAGTAATACCTAGATATATCAACATTAGGCAAAACATATTTACTGAAGACAAAGCTGTTTGGTCATTAGATACATTTCAATACGTATCAGGGCTAAACAAAATATTTTACACCTTTCCAATGACAGTTTCCAACAGAAGGGAAAGTGTTTCATCCTGCAAGTGATGTTGCTATTTCTCTTAGAAAAGAAAAAGAGAAAAACAGTCCTGTTTTCCAAAATCAAAACATATTTGGTCTGTCTTCTTTACCTTCTCCCTGTGCTTCCCATGTGAAATAAAAGAATCCAAATCTAAAACCCCCCAGCTTTCCAGATCCAAGCCTTCTTAAGGATTTTCTTTTTTCTCTGTCATGAGGGAAAGGAGGAGTTGTCAAAATCAAAAAGTACATTTCTGATGAAAAGAAACACTTCTCAAAAGAATCATTTAACAAATGTTTAGATGTCAATACTGCCGTCAGCTTGAACTCACAGAGGTGACCACTCTGCACTTCCAGCTCCAGGTATGGCAACTGGAAAATTCTGCGATTGCCACTGCATTTCTTAGGCTCAAACAACATCTCTGTTTTCCAAGCAACTGCATTAATTTGTAATGCCATCGCTTCCATCACACCCTCCCACCCTGAGCACCCCTAAAAACCCCCAACATATTTTGGCAGTCTTTGAGCCTCCTAAGACACTTAAGAAGGGCACCGGTGCTCACGATAAGGCTCATTCACCTTTTGCTTTTCCAATTAAAAAGCGGAGCCCTGACCTTTGAAAAGGAGATGAGTCAAAGACTTCATGAATCCCTTGTGACTGATTTTACAGGGCAAGCATAAAAGAGACAGGTAGTAGCATAAAACCTGACCTACAGAGATGGGTAACTGCGGCAGGCAGGACCCTGTTGTTGGAACATTTGGCTAGAAAACTCTGCTTCTCTCTCCTCTGTTTCTCCTGAAGTATTGTCTTCTCTTCTTTGAATCTTGCTTTCTGCTGTCCGAAGTCACAGTGTGCACATGGCATGCCTGCAAGCCTTCAGAGAAAGCCTGTTTTTTGGTGTGGCTGTGGCAAAGCACTAAGAACCCACTTTCATAAATATATGAGACCACAATTAAACTCTGCATAGAAGAGTAGAAAGGTTTTGGTTTGCAACCAAACACCAGTGTGTCCCCTGGGGCTCTTACAGAGGTGCTGCCTGCAGTTTTTGTCGAAGTGTTTTAATACCGAATTCTCCCAAGATCGTCATTGCGTGAATATTATTAAATTGATAGTATGTACTTTAAGGATGTTCATCAAGTTTTGAGTGTGTCCTGGAAATTCTTTAGGGTTGCATTGAAAAGCGCGACGACTTTTGCTGTTCCTGAGAACTGGGCCAGAAGAAAATGCATATGCTTTAAAAAATGTACAGGTATTACCTGTAAACATGTTAGACAGTACATGCAATACATCAGGGTTTTAGTATCAAAACCTGATTGTTCCAGGGAGCTTCCTTTACTGCTCTGGTGCCCTCTTGGCTCAATACCCCATTTGGTGTTTTTAGCACCCTCAGAAGTCCTCTGTGCGCACCACTCCTAATGTCAGTGGGGGACACAGGCGACAGTAATGGCAGCTAGTTTGAGAAGCAGCCTCTTAAACTATGCCTGGAAAATGCATAAATAAAATGCCTGAGAGTGCCAAAAGCATCACTTCCCTTTACAGATGTATGAGCACACATGCAGAAACAAGCAGCTCATGCCTGAATTGGCAAAGATAAAGCATTTGTAATTTGGGTCTTAAAATTCATATGCTTGAAAATACTTGGTATGTTAGTAGTTGCTTCAGACCTTTAAGTAAGGTAAACATGACACACTTGTCAAACTGTATGCTTAGATTATTTGTTTGTAACCAGCCATTCATGTACCGTGCTGCATTCAATTTGTGGAGAATAATCAAAAGCTGGGATAGAAATCTGTTTAGAGCTCTTGGAGCAGCAGCAATGGCAACAGGGATGGCTGCAGTCCTATCAGATTTTATGTGTGCTATTTTTTCTGTCACCGTAACCACAGTGCAGAAGTTCAGGCAATGTGCTGAACCTTTCTGATGCAGCAGATGTATCAGCTGTAGAGTCAAGGTGTGATGCAGGATCATGAGCTAGCTTCAGTTTAGCATTTCTTTTGTTTCCTATGTAATATTTTTGAAAGAAGTGGCAGAATAATTGCGTTTATTATAACACTGCACATAATCATCAATTACAATGTAATTTGGAACAAAAGCTTCTCTCTGAGGAGGAAGCCCTCAGTTCAGGGATGCCATTGTAAATATCAAGCACTATGTTCAGCTTTGAAGAAAGTTTTCTGCAGCACAGTGGTAAATTCTACTGAGGTGAGTATTTGAGCTCCCTGCTAATCAGTGAGCTATGTCTTTGTTGAGAATAACTTGGCTAATGGCCTTCAGATATTCCAATGGCTTTCCCTGGAAAGATTTTAGAAAGGCAGACAGCCTGAATGGTGGG